GTTTTAAGCTGCTCAATATCCCTGAACAAACCACTCTGTCAGTCCTTTATTTTGTCATTCTGGAAAAGGTCACAAGCCAGAAGGCCTTTTGTTCAGACATATATTGGTAGATCTTAGAATAACCATTAAAATTCAGAGCATGTGGTCCAGATATTCTGTGGGCATCATATTGAATGACAGAGTAACCCAACATAAATCAGCAAATGTTAAAGTTGGGGAACCTGCGGACCACTGTTGATAGACTGCAACTCCCATCAGCCCCTGTTCAACTATGCAGGGCTGCCTTCAGATATCTTCTAATGGTTGTATATTTAGAAGCTATCAGAAGATATCTCCTGGGCTCTGGGGTTGCATAACTCCATATCCTCCAATACTTCTCTGATGAAAATAGGGACGTCCAAAGGAAAAGCGGAAATTCTGGGCTCAAATCAGAAACCGGGATGACTTCTGTAAACCCAGGACTGTCCTTAGAAAATAGGGACACTTGGAGGGTCTGGGAGTGTCTCTCAGACTTGCCTGGAGATGCTGGGGGTTGAACCTAAGACTTGACCCATGCAAATCACATGCCCTGAGCAATGGGCCTTCCCCATAAGTTGTAATGCAGCAGCACCTAGAAGGTTACAGGTTTCCCACACCAGGGAAAGAACATGAAAGCGACTATTCAGGCGCTGGAAATGGTACCATGTTGACCAAATAAATCTGCAATGTGCCTTGTAATGATGTAGAAACTTTACTCTTAATAAAGACCTTGAAATGTACTGTCTCTGTTGCATTCAAAAACTGAAGCTCCACTTATCAGAGTCTCGGGAACCCCTCTGCAGTGAAAGCTGGTCCATTAGGCCTTGTGGGGTACTGCCACACCAAAATCCATTGGCTCTGTCTGCCATTGTCTCTGGCTCCACCTACTGTTGGCCTCCTGCTTTACGCCCTACCAGCCCCAATGGATCTTTGAGTGGCTCCTAAGAATGACAGGCGGAGTAGAAGTCTAAAAGGTGCTCCATTCTTGCCTCAGCAACCCACCACCATGGCTTAATCAACTGTATGCATTCAAACAGAGTATAATCCTGTCGTAAGCTTTGTTTAAAATTCAATAAGCAGTTCAGAACATTTTTCAAGACTTGCCCAGCATGTTTATACTGCATAGATAGTCTTTGCTGGCTCATAGTCCTAAACAACAATATGTAGGCAGAACTGTCAAGATCTCTGTTCAGTATTGCCCTTGCTTATCTTTACCTCTTCATTTTTATCATACTTCTGTGTTTTTTCCACTCACAGACCACTTTGGAACGTCTTTATAATTTCAAAGGGTGAGGGGCTGAGCTTACCTTGCAGAGCTGGAAAAGGTTCAGAAAAGGGCAACCAAAATGATCTAGGCAGGGATGAAGCAGCAACTCCCCTACGAGGAAAGATTGCAGGATTTGGGGCTTTTCTTTGTTTAGAGAAAAGGCAGAGGTGACATGATAGTGCTTATAAAATGATACGTGGCATGGAGAAAACGAATAGAGTGTTACAAGTTTGGAGGGGAACACCCCCCCTCCAAGAAATTAATGAATGTTGGAATCTAGCTCATATTTGGCATAAGGGAAAATGCAGGCTGCAGAACAGTGCCAAGCAAGGAGGTTCATGCAAAGCAGCCAGGCTAGTTAAAAGCCGAGCCATTAAGAAACGACACTGGGTTATTAAGAGCCATTGGCAGTGCAAAAGAGCTTTCCTTCCCCCCAGGTCTGAGGAGTGGACAGAGATAGAAGAATTGGGCAGAATCCGAGACCAGGGAGAAGAGTCGGTGAAAGAAGACTGGAAGAAATTTAAAGACTATTTACAGAAATATTGTAAAATTAAGGAATTTTAGAAGGATGTTGGATAGAAACTAAGTGGTTTCCAGCTGTAATGCTTTAAGAGATACGAAAAAAGGTTTACAAATGGGTAAAAGTTTAATGGTAAGGATTTGCTGAACTAACAAATTGAACTGGAATACAAAAAAGGGAGGTACGAGGAGGTCCGGGGAAATAAGTGTAAGGAAGATAGGTTATGGGAAATTAACGTGTTTTAAACTGTTTTATTTTGTATTTTTCTCTTTATTTTTTACTTTTTTTGTTATATCTTAAAAACTTTATACTTTTTTCTGTATTCTGTATTTTCCTGTATTTTTTGAAACTTTAATAAATATCATTTTTTTAAAAAAACAGAGATAGAAGAATTGGCAGGTTACCAAGGTGATGGGGGACGGGTGAGGTAACTGGAAAAGAGTGCCCTTTTGCAAGGAGCAGGGATTGCTGGGAACAAGAAAGGAGAACAGAGGTGGGAACCATCTTGGCTGCTGGCCAGAGAGGATGCAACCCAGAGACCATACCCGCCAAGTGTCTTTATTTTCCAGGGACAGTTCCAAAAATACAAAAGCCATCCTGGCTTCTAATTTGATCCCGAAATGTCCCTATTTGCCCCACCAGCGCTGCTGCCACTGACCTCGGGGAGAACGATGAGCTGGTGCTTGTCCTAGGCAGTGACAGAAGTGAGGGAGCACCCTGTTGCCTCTCCATGGCTTCCAGTGCCCACCTCCTCCCTTGGGCAGCTCATAGCCGCTGCTGGAAAACAGGTGAGGAAGAGGAGGAGGAGAAGGTACCACTACTGAGGCCCAGCCTTGTGTGATGTGTTGGCTCTGGGGCACAGGAAGAGGGCAGGGCAGGAAGAAAGAAAGAAAGAAAGAAAGGGGGAGTGGAGTGGTGCGCAAGGAGTCTTGATTTTTTTTTAATTAAAAAAAATATTTGTGCGTCTGCATCTAATCTTGCCCTTCACTTCCCTGTCTTCCTCCTTGGTGATCACTCATAGCTGAGTAAGATTGTCTTCCATAAACACAGTTTTAACAATGAAGAGAAGAGTTTGGATTTGATATCCCGCTTTATCACTACCCGAAGGAGTCTCAAAGTGGCTAACAAACTCCTTTCCCTTCTTCCCCCACAACAAACACTCTGTGAGGTGAGTGAGGCTGAGAGACTTCAGAGAAGTGTGACTAGCCCAAGGTCACCCAGCAGCTGCATGTGGAGGAGTGGGGAATCGAACCCGGTTCACCAGATTACGAGTCCACCACTCTTAACCACTACACCACACTGGCTCTCATGAGTCTGTAAGTGACTTCCCTGTGCAGCTCATGCAGAAACCACTTTCTTGACCGCTGGACCCAATATTGGTCTTGTCTGCTCAATCCATAAGAGCCTGCTTTTGTATGCAGAGGGAATCCCTAACTCACCAAAGGTTTGAGACCCATCAGCTACCCTTACCTGGTTTAGTGTCAGGGACTGGACTGAGGAGGAATGGTGGGGACCGCCACCCCCCCTTCCTGAACCTCCCCGAGAAGAGGAAGACAGTATAGATTTAGAACCGTGGTTTGCAGAAGGTCACAGTTCAGAGGCAGCAGAGGGGAGAAGCTAAGAAATATTGAGAGAGCAGCAGGAAGAAGAAGCACTAGGGGAGAGACAGCTGACAGACTCAGTGCCTTTAGACAGCATTCCAGACCTCCCTTCTCCCAGGACCTGGCGTCATTGAGAGTAGTAGAACAGAAAGCTCAGAGGCAGAAAGCACAATTAAGCCAGCGCAGGGATGACGTAGAATAGGAGAGACGGAGGGGGCTGGACTTTACTCGGAGCAACACCATTACTTGAGAAGTGGCATCATCCATCACTCTCTGTGACTATTGAATAAAAACCATGGTAAGAACATCTTGTATTCCAATTTCTGGCTGCCAGCCATGAAGAAGGGGAATCAGATTCCCTGACGTCTGACATTTAGCTGCCCAGTCAAAGCCGTTTCCTGCGGTGTCGCCACTCCCACATGCTGATAGCCTCTAGGAGCCACAGGTGACAGCTGAGTGCAGGATAGGGACCAAAGGTGGACAAACTACCCCAGAAGGAGCATAATGTGTTCCCCACCAGAAGTACTACACCTTCCCTAACACCCCATAAAAAAGATAAAACACACACACAAAGAATAACTGTATATGCTTTTTCGTTGCCACCAGTTGAGTCCCAGCAACTATCATTGTTTTCCATTGAGCTATCACTACATCACACAACAGTCTATATCATGTGGCTCAGCGATGGATTTAAGATATGATCTCATATGGCATGCAGCAATGGTGTGATTTACCCCTGCTCGAAGGTATGATATGAAGGAGTGTTCTCCGATGGAAACTGCCAAGAACTAGGAGTTAGTGTACTGTCGCTTTTGGAGCCACTGCCAGAATCAACACCTATGTTAAGCTTGAGGCTTATGAAAGCCGCTCTTTCAAAGCCTCGTCAGATAGCTGCATCTATATTGGAGCATCGTGAGGCACCGGGTGGGTGCCAGAGCAGATGTTTGTTCTGCTATATTAATTTCTCAGCCAGACATTTTTAGACCTCTGGGCCACTGAGGTGGGAGAGATTTCTTCTGGGAGATCAGACAATCTGAGTTGTCAGACCCCTTTTAACTGAAAGCCCATAATACCAGGATTCACTTGAGCAAGAGTTCAACAGAGCTCAACTCTGGAAGACGTGAGATGAGATACTAGGAGGAGGTGGTGACGAGGAGGCTGAGAAGTTCCGAGAAGGCTTCTAGGAAGAATCTTCTTGGATGCTGCTACTTTTTCGTAAAACCCAATACTCACGCTTATCCTCTGGATTGGTGAATTTTGCTTTGGATAGACCAGACTTTACGCACAAAGTCTGTTTATGAAAGTTTTACTGTATCAGTAAAATTCATATCGCCAGCTAAAAACAGCTATATGAGGCTATGTGTCGATGTAATACACATATTTTTGCATGCAGCTTTGAGGAGTGTAGACATTTTTGCAAGCAATTTTTCCTAACATAATGAATTATTTTCACTATTATTTTCATTTTTTGTGCACATTGCACCCTAATATATGAATTCTGGGAAGCATTGTTTAGTGGCAGAACTGCACCTCCAAATTCGGCTATCTGCAAATCGGCTGTGTTTCAGTACTCATATTGTGTGCAAATTTTAAAGGTTTGGCTCAATCAGTAAGAGCATGAAACTCTTGCTCTCAGGGTTGTGGGTTTGAGCCCCACATTGGGCAAAAAGATTCCTGCATTGCAGGGGGTTGGACTAGAAGACCCTCGTGGTCCCATCCAAGTCTGTGATTCTATGATTTCATCAAGTGAAAGGTGCATGCCAAAATATATCTGGATATACAGATCTGAGCAAGCTGTTCAAACAGAAAAGAGGAGCACAACCATTGAGGATCTTGACTCAAATGTTATTGAAGAGATGGACTTCTCTGGGGAAGTCCAGGGATGAAGGATGAGGGAAACAGAATAAATAAAATTCCTGTGGTACATATTGCACTGCCATTTCCCATTTCCCATGCTCCTATTTTTAGTAGAGGGTAAATGGAGGAGGCAGCATGAGGTGGGGCTGATGCAGATTTTTTATGGGGTCTGATTTTTATTTTTATTTTGCAGCAAAAATATATTTCAGAAGATCAGTCTTTTATCGAGGCCAAACTGCATAAATATGCAATAAACATGTGTGTGTGTGTGTGTGTGTGTGTGTGTGTGTGTGGAAGGGGGTGCTTAAAATGGCTACTTTTTATTTTGATGAATAAAATCAGTTGCGAGGCCCTGACCTAGAACATGTTCCTAATCCAGAAGTAGAGAAAAGAAAGCGCCAGTCAGATCTCCATAGAGAAAGCATTTTAGGGGCCACCACTGAGAAAGCCCTGTCTCACATTGCCATCCCACTCACTCCAGATCAAAATCAAAGTCAGACTGAGTCACCGAAAGTCACCGTGCGGGGGGGGGGGTTGCCTGTCGCTTAAAGATACATAACAGTTCCAAACTGTTTTTTATATATGAAAAATTTTACATGTTTTATTGCGATGTGAAAATGCTTCATAGGGTGCAATTCGTAAATGAAATATAATAAAACAAATGCAATCTGTACAGATAAATGGATAAAACAATAAAATATTAATATTACTGATTATTGTAATTGTTTTTTTTTTAAAAAACTGAATAACGGAGACTGGGGCAGCATTAGAGTAAGCAAAACGATGCACTTGCCTTTTGAACAGAGAACATGCGTTAAGAGCTTCTTTTTTTAGACAGCCCCCCAGTCTGACAATCAGGAAAGTGGTCAGGAATTGAAGAGCCTTTAATCAGAAAAAAACCACACAAACCAACCATCTTCAAGCTGGGTTCTCATGTGCTGCGTCAACTCAAAGGCTCCCTATCTGGGAGCTAGTTGATTGTGGCCTATAAATCAGTCTTGTAAATCAGGGGTCCAGGCCACCCTGTCCCTGAACGCTGATTTGCCAACACCTTGGAAATAAACAACCAGAAAGAGAGTGGGGTAAGTATTGTAAAGTGTGGGTTTTTCACCCCTCCATTCACCGGAGGAGGTGGGAGGAATGTGGATCTTGAAACACAAGACAGAGCTGTCCGTGGGAGAAGATTTCTCCTCTTTTGGGTTCACAGATTTTGAATCCTGTCTCCATGCCACAGTGGTAGTTACAATGTCGGAAGGCATTTTCTGTGCTTCCTTGCCCCTCACCCCACCCCACCCCATAATAAAACACCACAAAGCCAACCTTCAGCAATTGGTCAGCTTTAGAAACAAAAGGCTCCATTGACTCCATCTAAGGAACAGCAGAAGACAATTCCTCAACAATCTCACTTTGAGCTGAATTCCATTTTTATATGAGGGCTGTTTCGTGACACCCACACACCCACACACCCCAAACAGAGAAAAACTACTTTTTGTGCAATGGCTGGCCTGTGAGCCGGAGAGGGTAACTTTTCCTTTGTTCAGAAGCAACTGATTTCTTGTTCCAGTTTATTATTTTTTTCCAGGAAAAACTAGATATTATTATTTATCGGAGGAATGTCTGTCGACAAGTTGTGTTAGAACTGATTGATTATTTTGATTATTTAATTTCTATGCTGCTTAATGTATTAAAAATACCTCTGAGCGGTTTAAACTGAAGCATTGCAGGGGTGGACTAGATGATCGTTGGGGCCCCTTCCAGTTTCTATGATTCTATGACTCCATCAGAAAGCAAAAAAAAAAAAAGCATTCAAGGTATAATAAACAAAATCTGCCATTATTCCCTTATGGGGGACACAAGAGCCCTTCTAGAGTCCTTTGTAGGTTCTCCATCGGTCGGAAAAAATAACAGAGGCCAACCAGAGAATATTAAGAAGCAAAGCAGCTACTAAGCCTGATCTTTATTGATCTGTTGCAACAGGGTGCTCCCCTTACACACAGGAGAGAGGAGGAGGGCCCAGAACAAAGGTGTGCCTGCCCTTATACAGACATTTTAAATTCCCTTCCCTGGAACTCAAGACCACCCCTCCATACATCATACGTACATCACAGAAGGGGTGTAACCCAAGACCACTCCCCACAAACATCATACCTACATCACAGAAAAGGTGGTCTACAACAGAAATTTGAATGTTGTTGTTTTTCCTGTCTGCCAGGTTATCTGATAATGCCTTATCTGATTGCCTTCCCTGGTAGTCTGGCTATTCCTTTGAGATGGTGATTACCCAATTCCTGAGACAATGGGAAGGTTCCCTAACCCCCTCCCTCCTTGCAGAGAAAAACATTTGGTCAGTTTGGGAGTCAAAATGGTTTCAGGGCGGTCTTTTTGTGCTGCTCCAGACATGTGGTCCACACATCTATGTTCGTGCCTGGTTGGTACATTGATGAACATTCATTATACACACACACACACACACACATATATATATATATATATATATATATATATATATATGACCTTAATTTTTTTAATTTCAATGGCAAAGGAGAATTGGTGAGGAGAAGGGCCTAAAGAGAGACGGTTGGGCAATTGTTGTTTGCAAATGATTTTTTGCCCCCCCCCCCCCCGGAAAAAAATAACAAGGAAATGAGAACTAAATTTGCACCACATAATGTGAAAGCTCACATATAATGCAGAACCTAACAGTCAGGAAAATGGAATGAACTGACATGCAGATGCAACCCCTAGTTTCTTTGAAAACTCTGTTGTACTCTAGACTCCCAAAGCAGGTGGCCAAATACTTTATCTATAGTATAAATTTATCAGTCACATTCCCCCCCGACAGAAGTTCTCAAAGCAACAGGAAACAAAATAAAAGGAAGCTAACGAGCATCTCCCACCACCTTTACTAAGTTTTTTTTAAAAAAAGCTTACACAAAAATCTGCTTTATAATTCCTTCAAGGTCAACGCTTTAAACATTGAAGGGGGGTGGGATAGTTAAGAATATCAGCAACAGAACCTTGAGATAAGGGGCTGAAGGAAACTCCCCTCTGAGGAAGTTTACAGCATTCAGCACTTTGAGGAAAGGCAAGTGAGGAGGGACATGACTGAGGTGTTTAAGATTATACACGGTATGTGTGTGAGGAAAGTGGATGGGGAGAGGCTTTTCCCCCCTCTCATGACGCTACAACTTGGGGGCATCCCATGAAGCTGAAGGATAGAAGATCCAGGAGAGACAAAAAAGAAATGACTTATTCATGCAGTGCAGAATTAAACTGTGGAATTCACTTCCTCAAGATATAGCGATGGCCACCAATCTGAAATACAGTCATACCTCGTGTTGCGTTTGCTTCAGGTTGAGCATTTTCAGGTTGCGTCCCATGGCAACTCGGAAATTCCAGAAAGGGTTACTTCTGGGTTTTGCCACTCGCACATGCACAGATGCTCAAAATGATGTCGTGCAGAAGCAGCGAATCACAACCCGCAGATGCACAGACACGGGTTGCGATTTGCTCAGGTTGCGAACAGGGCTCGGGAACGGATCCCATTCGCAACCAGAGGTACCACTGTACTTCAGACTCAGATAGCTCAATTGGTAGCGCTTGAGACTCTTAATCTCAGGGTTGTGGGTCAGAGTAATATGTTGGGCCAAAGATTCCTGCATTGCGGAGAGGGGGGGTTGGACTAGATGGCCCTTGGGGTCAACTTCCAACTCTTCACCATCACTAGATCCTCTAAGCAGTCATAGAATCATAGGAGATGACTATCAATGACTACTAGCCATGAGGGCTATGTTCTATGTCTATTACCAAGACATTGTTGTTCCACTGCACTGAGCACCAAAGCTAGAGAGAGGGCTTTGCAACTACAACATAGAGAACTGAGCAGAAAGAAAGGCAAGAGGCAGGGGTTGCCAAATTTTGGGATCACACAGGGTGCCGCTGAAATGTTAAAGACTGTTGTTGTTGTTTAGTTGTGTCCGACTCTTCATGACCAGAGCACGCCAGGCACTTCTGACTTCCACTGCCTCCCGCAGTTTGGTCAAACTCATGCTGGTAGCTTCGAGAACACTGTCCAACCATCTCATCCTCTGTCGTCCCCTTCTCCTTGTGCCCTCCATCTTTCCCAACATCAGTGTCTTTTCCAGGGGTCTTCTCTTCTCATGAGGTGGCCAAAGTATTGGAGCCTCAGCTTCACGATCTGTCCTTCCAGTGAGCACTCAGGGCTGATTTCCTTCAGAATGGAGAGGTTTGATCTTCTTGCAGTCCATGGAACTCTCAAGAGTCTCCTCCAGCACCATAATTCAAAAGCATCAATTCTTCGGCGATCAGCCTTCTTTATGGTCCAGCTCTCACTTCCATACATCACTACTGGGAAAATGTTAAAGACTAGTGTGCCCCTGAAACCACAAATCTGTACAGTCATACCTCGGCTTACAGACGCTTCAGGTTGTGCATTTTTGGGTTGCACACTGCGCTGAACCCGAAGTACCGGAACGGGTTACTTCCAGGTTTCATGAGCAGAAGCACCAAATTGTGAGCCGTGCGTACGCAGATGTGGCGCTGCAGGTTGCGAACGTGCCTTCCGCACGGATCACATTCACAACCCGAGCATTCACTGACTGTATTACTATTGTTAATAATGATGATGAATTGCTCCGCAAGAGGCATCTTGAATTGACCTACAGTACAATAAATATATATATAAGACAATTGCGTGTGTGTGTGTACACACGCACGCACGCACACACACACTTACTTTAAAAATACATATGAAACAGTTAAAATAACAATAATTCCATATATAAAAG